AGGGATTGTTGCGAACACTAACGTGATCATTTTCCCCTTATTTAAAACCTTTTAGTGGCTTCCCATCACACCTTTTTTTTTTTTTTTTTTGGTGGCTGGCCAGTACAGGATCTGAACCCGTGACCCTGGTGTGATCAGTACCACGCTCTAACCAGCTAAGCTAACCGGTCAGCCCCCCGCTGCTTCCTTCCAGTCCTTGTCCTCAGCCCTCTCCCTCCCGCTCGGTGCTTCAGCCCGTGCCTGCCTTCCTCTCTTTGCTCAGTAACCTCTGTTTGTTCTCTGGGTCTCAGCTCAAACAGCACCTCCCCAGAGAAGCCTTCTTGGACCTCGCTGTCCAGGCTGACTGCCCCCCTTAGAGGCTCTCCTGCACCACACCCCTCTTCCCCAACACCGGTCAAGCTGCCGTGCTAGGCTTGCTGTGGGTCTTTGGTTAACATCTGTCTCCTTCTGGTCCTTGTGTTGCATGGCTCAGGGACCCTGTTGGGTCTTGCCTTCCACCCTCTCCCCAGCCCCTAGCAGGAGAGCAACACTGATTGTTGAATAATGAATGAATGAATGAATGAATGAATGAATGAACAAAGCACCCCGGGTGAATTTTGCAGTATTAGATAGTGTTTGAGTGTGTACCTGTGTGTAAGGTGGGGATTCACAAAAGAAGTGGCTCAGTCTCTGGCCTTCAAGCTGGTTCCAGTGGTAAACATGCACTGAGAACCAAGAGAGGCTCACCCCTGTGCCCCTCCTCAGCCTCTGACCTGACACCTACATCTGGAGCCTGGAGCCCCTCCAGAGGCTTTGGAAAGTAGCAGTCATTGCCATATCTCACTACCCATGGACTGTTTATACCAGGTTCTACTGCAGAGGATTGGACCTAATGAATTTGCACAGGACCCTGAGTGGCCCGCACAAGGCCACCAGTAGGATCTCTATATACAACACCCTTCTTCCTCCCTCCTGGTGTCCCAGGAACTCTCCAGACTCCTTAAAGCTGTCTGCCCGGCCTCTTGGACCTGATGCATCAGACTGTCTCAATCCCCAGCCCACCCTCCTCTGGGATGGAGCCTTGATGTCCTCAGCCAGCCCTGTTCATTCGCCTCTCCTGGAGGGGCCTGGGTGCTCTTCGTACAGAACAGAGGGCTTCTTCTTTGTCAGGACCCCCTCCCATCTCCACCTCCGTGGACTGGTTCAATGGGGCCCAGTCAAGGTTAAGGTAAGCCTCTTGAGGGTGAGCCACATGGAAAGGCAAGGTGTGGATGTCGGCCTTGCAGAGCAGGCCTTGACAGGCAGGAGTCCTCTCTGGGGCTCTCTGGCCTGAGCCCCACCTCCCTGTCATCTAGCACCTGGCCTGACTCTGAACCCAGAAGTCATGTGTACCTGAATAACCCCCCTGTCTGAAACCTCTGACCTGACAGTTTCTGAGCTCCTGGCCTTAGAAGGACTGACCCTGGGGTGGCTGGGGTTAGCCTTTCAAGTCCCCTTGTGCCCCCCGCTCTCCAGGACGGTGGGCAGGCTCACCGGACAGCAGCCACTGCAGCCTCTGGATGTAGCGCCGGATCACCTTCTCCAGGCAGCTGATGTACACGTCAATTTCCCTCAGCGTCCACCGCACGTGTCTTGTCACGCCCTGGATTAAGGCAGGTGATGGCAAATTCCCCTGCCCCCCAGAAGCTTTTTCTTCATATCCCCATCACCCCCTAAAACAGTTTATTCCATGTAGTTAACAATTCCCAAAACATCTGTTAAGCATACATCTCTGTTGGTTTGTTTAAAAGCTTTTTTTTCTTTTGTTAAACTACCAGATTTATGGTTCTACAAAGGAGTGGAGGAATTAGGATGATGGTTTTGTAGCAAATGCAGTCATTGTAATAATAAAAAACATAATACCTCTGAATTTTAAAATTGAAAACACTTAATGGTAGGGTGGGAGGTCCATAAATTTCAAACTGAATGATGACCTTGGATGGAGAGGAGACCATGGTCACAAATTCTTCTGGTGGATAATTTTGAATTTTGTGGCTATTTTAATTGCCTCTAATCTTTTGTTTTGGTTTGGTTTTGGAGGCTGGCTGGTACAGTCATCCGAACCTTGACCTTGGTGTTATAACACCACGCTCTAACCACCCCCTAATGTTGGTGACATAGTATGAAAGGGCAAGAAGGGAAATGATTAAATTTTCACTTTGTTCTACTGTCCAAGCAATGAAAAAACATTACCCAAAAACTAAACAATAGAGGTAAAAACCCCTTACTGCAATCATAACCCCCATTTGCTGCCATCTGCCACCAGCAGTACTGGGAGTGCAGAGTTCTTATTGGGGAACATGTCAGTCATGGCCCTGTGTTCTCAGCAGATCTTTCTAATTCTCACTCCAATGAGCCCAGCTGCCCTGGAGTGTGATCTCAGCCCCTGGGGGTGACTTTTCTTCCAGCAGGATTCTGCACCTCCTGCTGTCTTAGGGCAGCCCCACTTTGGGCGGGGAATAGAGGCCCTGGTGCCCAACGCTGCTCTCTGCCATGTGCCGCTGAGATGAGGCAGGAGTTGCAGGAGAAAAACAACAAAAAGTGCGACTCACATTGACCTCTATGCTGGGGAAGAGGCTGCAGTGTTTGCCTGGCGTCGACCTCTGTGCCAACTTTTGATGCGCACAGTTGGGACCGATGCATCGGGAGATCTCCATCTTCAGTTTCCTTAGCCCATAATTTGCTATCCACTGTAGAATGAAGGAAACAACTATGGGCTTGGGTAACTCAGGCTTAATTGAAAGATTGTCTGACTCATCCATTAAAAGCTCATGTTTGAAATCTGTCTCAAGAGAAAGGAATAACAGGCATCTAGATTGGAAAAGACAAAGTCAAACTGTCCTTGTTAGCAGATGATATGATTCTATATAGAGAAAAACCTAAAGACGCTACAAAAAACCTCTTAGAACTGATAAAAGATTTCAGTAAAGTCTCAGGGTACAAAATCAACAGCAAAAATCAGTAGCATTTTTATACTCCAGCAATGAACTAGTGGAAAAAGAAGTCAAGAAACCTAGCCCATTTACAATAGTCACCAAAAAAATAAAATTCCTATGAATAAATTTAACCAAGGAGGGGTAAGATCTCTACTATGAGAAAAACAAATCACTGCTGAAAGAAATAAAAGAGGACACAAAAAGATGGAAAGACATTCCATGCTCTTGGATTGGAAGAATTAACATTGTGAAAATGTCCATACTACCCAAAGCAATCTACAGGTTCAATGCAATCACCATCAAAATACCAATGACATTCTTCACAGAAATAGAAAAACCTAACATTCACACAGAACAACAAAAGATCCTGAATAGCCAAAGCAATCCTGAGCAAATAAATAAATAAAATAAAGCCAGAGGCATAACACTACCTGACTTCAAATTATACTACAAAGCTATACTTTTCACTATATACCAAAATTAACTCAAAGTGGATTAAAGACTTAAATATACGTCATGAAACTATAAAACTCCTAAAAGAAAACATAGGGGAGACACTTCAGGAAGTAGAACTGGGCAAAGACTTTATGAATAACACCCCTAAAGCATAGGCAACAAAAGAAAAAAATAAACAAACAGGATTATATCAAACTAAAAAGCTTCTGCACAGCAAAGGAAACAACTAAAGGATCAAAAAGACAACCTACAGAATGGAAGAAAACATTTGCAAATTATGCATCTGAAAAGGGATTAATATCCAGAACACACAAGGAACTCAAATAACTTAACAATAAAAAAACAATTACCCAATTTAAAAATGGGCTAAGCAGCTGAATAGGCATTTCTCAAAAGAAGATATACAAATGGCCAACAGTCACATGAAAAAATGCTCAACATCACTAAGAATCAGGAAAATGCAAATCAAAACCACACAGAGATATCATCTCACCCTAGTTAGACTGGCCATTAGCAAAAAGACAGAATAACAAATGCTGGTGAGGATGTGGAAAAAGGGGAACCCTCTTACACTGTTGGTGGGACTGTAAATTGGTGCAGCCATTATGGAAAACAGTATGGAGGTTTCTCAAACAACTATAGATAGAGCTATCATATGATCCAGCAATTCCACTGCTGGGTATATACCCAAAGGAATGGAAATCATCATGTTGAAGGGACACCTGCACTCCCATGTTTATCGCAGTTCTATTCATAATAGCTAGGAATTGGAATCAACCTAAATGTCCATTGTTGGATGACTGGACAGGGAAAATGTGGTATATATATACACAATGGAATACTACTCAGCCATAAAAAAGAGTGGAATTCTGCCATTCGCAGCAACATGGATGAGCTTGGAGAAAATTATGTTAAATGAAATAAGCCAGGCACAGAAAGAGAAATACCACATGTCCTCACTCATAAGTGGGAGCTGAAAAAATAAACAAGTAAATAAAAAAAGAAAGATACAACAATCATTCATTGAACTTTCAAAAGGAGAGAACAGAACTGAGGCCACCAGAGTTGGGAAAGGGGGAGGGGGACAGGGGGCTAGTGAGAAATTGGTAAAGGGCCCCCCAAAATGATTACATTGTATAATGCTGAACATACTAATTGTCCTGATTGGAGCATCACATACTGCACACAGGTATTGATATTCAATTCTGTACCCCACAGATATGTACAATCAACTATGTTTCAATAAAAATTTAATTAATTTTTAAAAAGAAATCTGTCTCATGCTGGGAATGTGGGTCTCCTAGGTCCTCACTGAGCATTCGATGCATGCAGGTTCCTTCCCTGGCTCTTGTGAAAGATGCACAAGGAATGTGGGGAGGAAGTGGAGAAAACGTGTTGAGCATCTGCTGCTACTCCCTAGTCTAGTGGACATTGCTACTTTTGACCCTCCTCCACAAAATTTGGGTAGAAAGCCAATCAAGGCTTTGGTCTAAAGTCCAAACTCTAACCCAGTTAGGATAATTTCCAGTCCCAATGAGAGAGACAAGAACGACCAGGTGCAAAGCCATCAGAGCACGGCACCTGGGACTGGCCCATCAGAACCACACTGACTGGTTGAACGGTTGTGGGAAGAAAGGTGTTAATCTTCTGGATAAGAACAGGAAGAGGGGTTTCTGTTGCTTGCAACTGAAAGGGTCTGACACCACTAAACACTCTACACAAAATACACTTTAATTAACCCTTACATCAGTCTTATTAGATGGGTATGATTGTCTTCATTTTACAAGCAAAGACATTGACATTGAGTGTAGTTAAGTGACTTGCCCAAGGTCACCCTGCTAGGAAGGGGCAGACCCAGACTTTGAACTTAGGTGTACTTAAGCCTTATTCCACCTGTTACAGTCATTCTTAGTGGGCTTGTCCTCATTTCCAAGTACTCCCACCCTCCTAGACGTGACGGCTGGCAGAAAGAATTACTGCGTATGGGGTGTGTGCTGGTGCAGATGACTTAGTACCTCCTCGCTGGAGCAAACTGTGTCCTTTCTGGGCAACTCAACAGAAGAGCTGGTTCTTCTTATACCCCCTCTTTGAGGGTACCTCCTGTACACCGAGCCTGGGAGGAACAGCACAGGTCACTTTGTGCCCCCCTTTTTACTCCTCTCCCCACACTGCTCCCTCTTTTATACCAGTTGCACATCAATCAAGTCAGTTCTAAAATTCTTTAGGTGCAATTTGCTGAGAGGTGGACAGGGAGGCTGTTGGGTGGGTCGGGGGAAGGCTGCCTGGGACCTCCCACGCAGCAGTGAATTGCTACTGAGCCTACCATTAGACAGCAATCAATCAGGCTGGTCTAGGAAATCATATCCACCCCCTTCCAATCAGACTGGGAGCTAAAGAAACTGCCCCTAGTGGACCTCAGGAGATCTCATCTTCAGTGCTGACTTTCTCATTCCTTGGCCAGTGTCAAGACGTCACACTCTCGTTTCCCTGGACTGGGAGGACTGAGCTGTTTGAGGACAGGCCTGCTGCAGAAGCACCCTGCTCGTGGCCTGGGATAGCTGGGTGGGGGTGTCTCCTTCCCACAGGGCGAGGGGGCTGTCCAGACACTTGTGTAGCCTCCAACTCACCCACGTTGTCCCCTGTCTCCGTATAGAACAGCAAGAGAGATGTCTCCCCTTCCCTCGACTTGGTCTTCCTCCTCCGTTCCTTCGTCCCCTCCTTCACTAGCTGGACTGCAGCTGGAGGACATTGGCTTGTTGGCTGGAGCAGACTCGTGGGTTTCTGTCATAAAGCTGCCCAGCTGGGCTTAGAGACACCTCCTCTCAGCTATACGCCAGCCCTGGACATGGGCCTCCGAGATGGCTTTGAGGCAGCCCTTGCCCCACCCAGGTCTTCTGGCCTTGCCTGGATCATTAAGAGCTGCTGGTCACCAGGCATGGCACTGAGTGCTTCATACACCCCGTTCCACTGCACCCTCGCAGACCCCAGTTTACAGATGTAGCAAGTCGGACGCAGAGCTGGGAAGAGGTAGAGCAACGATCCCACCCCGGTCTGCTGACCCCAGAACTCTGCTCTGAGCCACTCTGCCATGTCTTTGACATGAGGAATAAGATACAAGGTCTTGGGTTCTATGAGCTTTCATAAAAATAGTGATGGCCTATCACGACTAGATGGCACAATATTTGCAGCCCCTCTGAGCCTGAAGTCCCTCACCGGTCAAATGGGGAGTGGACAGAGTACCTACTGCACAGGATTGGTTGGCACAAGCTTTGAATGGGACAGTCTTAGATCATCCTGTCTGCACATGATCAAGATGCATGAGCATTGATCATTTGAGTCCATGCCTCTTCCATGCTCGGGCTGTCCCTCCACCCCCGGTGTGACCACGGCTGTGCCTTACCTGGTGAGACACCTGCTCTGCCACCGAGTGGACACCATTTCACAGTTTTCAAGCAAGGGCTCTTCTCTCTGTCAGGGTCATCTTTAATGTTCTAGAAAACAGGCCATCTTTCCCATCAGAGATCTGTTCTCTGTGGCAGTCAGTACCCAGTCACCCCAAGCTCCACCTGTCAATCAGGAACTTTTGCAGGGAGAGGCCAAAGGGAGTGGACTCCTCAGACACGTCTGGCCCATCTCCTGCAGCAGACTCAGAGGGGCCTCTGGGTTCTGGGGTGGAAAATGTGTGTGCGTGTGTGTGTGGTATGAGAAGGAGGAGAGGGCGTGCTAGGACAGCGGTGGGGGTTTGCCAGAATATTCTTTTTTTTTTAATTAAAAAAAATTTGTTTTTTAAAATTTAAAAAGATGTCCAGTAAGGGGATCTTAACCCTTGACTTGGTGTTGTCAGCACCACACTCTCCCAAGTGAGCTAACCGGCCATCCCTATATAGGATCTGAACCCGTGGCCTTGGTGTTATCAGCACCACACTTGCCCAAGTAAGCCATGGGCCGGCCCCTTGCCAGAACATTCTTCACCAGTGACCTGCCCCTCCTCCTACTGGAGTGAGATTTCTGGGCCTCCAGTGTGACAAGCAACCATTCAGGCGACTTCTGTGCCTGTTCTGTACCTCAGTTTTAAGGGAGGAGTTCCTTCATTACTAGACACAACTGGAAGGTGGCGACAGTTAAACCAAGCCACCTGGGCCCCATCCCTCCTGAGGAGACCACTGGGTGAGCCTCAGTGGAAAAGGCCTGGATGCTGCCACTCTCGGGAACCCGCAGCCTGGTGTCAAGAGGGCCCATTAGAGGCCATGGCGTGGCCTACACCTCCTCACGCTGAATCAGCTCAGGAACCACTAAAGGCCCAAGAGGCAGACCCTGAGATTCTGCGTTTCGGCCCAGAATTTGGGAAGGCAGGAGAGGGTGATGGCCTGGACTGGCTCCGGAACCTGGTGCAGTTCACTGGAGAAGACAGTGCCCATATGCACGGAATCCCCTGGAAGGGCAGCCCGTCGACTGGGAATAACCTACAGAGGGTCTGGGTGGTTTGTCCTTCTGGAAATGTGCTATGGTCACAAGGGGCTGTCCATCAGTGTGACACTGAGGAGCTCACAGGTGTCACTGCCCTTCTGCCACAAGCACTGCTGCACCTGGGCTCTTCCCTCTAGAGGCCCCTCCTGACTGCTGAGGTGTCGGAGATGGGGGGTGTTTTGTGCAGGACACATTTGACAGGCTGTGAATGGGGAGAAGGCCTGGCAGGCGCGGGTTCACCCTCGGGCTCCTATTAGGCCCCTGCTAAGCCTTGGGCAGCAGCAGCAGGAGCCTGAGTTAGACACCTGAGTTCCCCTGACCCCGAAGGACCCTCCAGGATCAGCCATCAGACGTGAGGTGGGTGCCAATACCATGGCGTGCTTCGTACCAGGCCAGGGAGCAAAGCCGGACCAGGCAGGAAAAGCCAAAGGCAGGGTGGGGGAGGCCAGAAGTGCCCCCAGAGCTGAGAAGCAGCTCCCCCAAGGGGAGTCCCTCTCCCTAGAGGCCCGGGTGGGATGCACCCCCGGGACACTCACCACGGAAGCCCCTGACCCCACCCCTGCTGGCCTGGGGGTCTGAGGCCCTGTCCCCAGCCATGCTGAGATCTAGGAAAGACCAGGAGACAATTGGGAGCAAAATCCTCCAAGTGTTATTAGGGAGGGAGTCAAACCGTTCTGGCCATCGAAGGGGCTGTGGACTTGGGAGGACGGAGTTTCTCGGGCTGACTTCTCTTCTTGGGCATCTTCGGCTTTTCTCTCGGGAGGGCAGCACTTTCCAGTTCTTTTCCCGACTGCTTCTTCAGGGAGGCCACCAGTAAGGCACACTGCAGGGGGATTGGGAGAGTCAGCAGCACTCACAGCCACCGTCGACAAACAGACACACACACACAGCAGGAGAGAGACTGGGTCCACTGGAGTCCCTGGAGTCCCCTGGACTCCTCTTCTGTCCCTAGAATGCTGCCTGGTGCTGAGAGTGCTGCAGATCATGCCGATTAACAAGTACCATGTATGGACTGGGACACACCAGACACTGGGCTGGTTAGTGCCTGGGGTTTGCCGTCAAGCCAACAAGACAGGCCAACTATGCCCGCAGGGCAGGTGCTATCTCATCCCCATTTTACAGATGAGGACACCAAATCTCCATGAGATTCAGGTTCCTGCCCAAGGCCACACTACTAGTCTGTAGAGGAGTTTCAGTTCAAACCCAGGTGGGTCTGGTTCCAGAGCCAGTGCTCTGTCCATTGTAAGTGCTGCTGCAGGATAACGGAGTAACACTTGGTTCCTTTGGCTCACAAATTTCTCAACTGCCTGAAAGCTTCTCCAGTAATCATTCTCAATCAAAGTACTAGAAGACACCATTCGAATGTAAATTCGCAGTTTAAGGAGGGGTGGATTAAGCTAGTGTGGCTCATTAACACCTCATGAATGAGTTTCTCATGTGAAGAATGGGACTGATATGCCCCTAAGGAGGGATTTTAAAAAGCACCAAATGACAGTTAAGGACCGACATAGATGAGAGAAGCAGAAACCACAGAGTTCCACGGCCTTCCATGGCGTAGGATTGCCTGGTTAGTCCCTTTGCAGGTGGGTGTGCGTGAGCGTGTGCTCTGGTGCGTGGAGCGGGGCTGCTCACACATCTCTGCTGGTCGTTCTCAGAGGGTCAGGTAAAGAGGAGGCCAGGTCTGCTACTAAACAGAGCATGTTAGACGCAGATCACGTGAGGCAACTTCTTCATTTCAGGAAGAGGCAACACAGACTGGATCTGCTAGTTAAGCCTCACGTGAAAGGAAGAGGTATTTTTAAAAATAGATTTTTATGAATGTGACATCGAGTTGTATGATGGTTATGATAATCCATGCCCAGGCTTTTGACCAGGGCATTTCATGATTGCCCCACGCTAATTAAAAATTCCTGGACCTCCTTTAGTTATAGTGAGTCATTTGTAGCTCTCAGAAAGGAGCCCATATTCCAAGTGAAAGGAATAGAGATGCCAAATGCAAAACTTTTTGTCTTCACTTTGGTACTCTTGCAGTTTTTTTCTTCTTTTTGGCGGCTGGCTGATACATCTTACAATTTTTAACACAATATTTTTTGTAAAAAAAAAGCACCAAAGAAGGTCCTTTCAGGGAGGACACCTAAGGTGTGTCTGGGGGAGCCCCAGATCTGTTGATTCGATGGCTGTGGAGGAAAAGAACGTGGAGGCGTGGCCCTGCCCTCCCAGGAGACCACAGTCTAGTCGGGGAGATGAGTCCTTCTGCAGATGATGGCAACGAAACTGTGAGTTGGGCTGAGTCTCCTTCGCAGGATCCTCCCCTGCCTCTGCCATGCTCCGTCCATCCCCATGGCTTGAACTGCCCCAAATCTCTATCTCCAGCTGTATCTTCTCCCATCTGCAGGATGCCCTCAGTTGTCATCTCACAGGCTCCACAAGCTCTTCTTTATCCCAGCCCGCCTCCCTGCACACTTCCATGGGCTCTTCCTCCTGTCTTCTCTCTTTTGGTCAATGGCATCACTGTCTACGGGTCCCCCAGCAAGAAACGGGGCAGCTACTCTGGGTTTCTTCTTCTCCCTCACCCAGCACACCCAATCAGTCACAAGTCTGATCAATTCTTCCTTAAATGTTCTCACATCCATGCCCTTATTTCCTCTCTCATCACTATGGAGTAATCTGGCCCCTTCATGCTCCCTTCTCTGAGGAAGTAACAATTTAATGTGTCTTGAATAAAAAGGATCAAGCCAGGGAAGACCTGGAAGGAGAGTGGCAGGTGGAGCAAGCAGCAGGTGCGAAGGGCCTGAGTTTAGAAAGAGCTCAGGAATGAGCTCGCTGTGTTCAAGGAACTCAGAAGTGGCCAGAACATGCAGCATACAGGCCTGAAACCAATGACACAGGAAACACTCATCTTTCACCTGAAGCCTTGGGTGTCACGCACCAGGGCAGGAAGAGGGAAGCTGGCCTGGATGAATTGTGTCCCCCAAAAGATGCTGAAGTCTGAACTCCCAGTACCTGTGAATGTGAACTGACTTGGGAATAGAGTCTTTGTAGATGTAATTAAGATGTAAGTTAAGAAGGGATCATGCCGGAGTAGGGTGGGCCCTTAGTCTAGTGTGACTGGAGTCCTTGGAGGAGGAGGAGAGGTGCAGATACAGGGAGAAGACAGCCATGGAAGATGAGGCAGAGACTGGAGTTATACTGCCACAAAGCATGGAATGCTCAGGATTGCCGGTGACTAAGACTCCCTCCTTGATCAGACTTTAATCAGGATCCTCTGAGTCATCTTCTCAACCAGGCCTCAACTTTGGCCCATTGTCCCCAGTTTTAGCAAAGAGTCCTGTTAAGTCAGTTTAGTGGGAGCCCCCCCTCACCTCATCAAGTTCTTCATACCCTGTGCTTGAAAGCTAAGCCCTCGGCCTGCCGTTAGCAAGAATTGCATGCAGCGAGGATCCCCTGCTCTTGACATCTGACCGAGTGCCCCTCAGTCGTTTTCCACCTGCTGACCTGCCTGCTGGCTCTACATCCCCCACTATCTTTCCCGTTATTTGGAGTTGAGTTCAATCTCTCTCCCCTCTTGCAACAGTCTAAGTAAAATCTTCCTTGCCATTTTTAACAAGCATCCAGTGTGATTTTTTTTTTTTTTTAAAACACCAGTCACCACCAGAAGCCAGGAGGAGGCAGGGATACCCACAGCATACCTTTTGCGAGTAGTCGAGAGCCTTTTCCATCTCTGACATGATGGAGTTGATGTCATCACTGTCACAGATGCCTGGAGACAAAGCATGTCGTGAGTGTGGGGAGGGGCCTGTATCTTAGCGTGTGTCCACATCTGGATGCACGAGGGCCATGTAGAGGTGACTGGAGCCTGAGGGGCAGGGTGGGGACTTAATGTGCTGAACTGACCAGTGCCCCCTCCCACCCCCGCACCATCCAGGAGTGAAGGGGGTGAGCAGGTGCAGCGTGGTTACCTACAGCGGGTGACCCTGGCACTTGCCCACAAGAAGATTAGGTTAGGTGCAAAGGTCCTACTATTCAGTGAGTAAAAAGATCCCCTGGGATTATTTACAGTAGCTAATGTGTGTAGTGAACATCGATGTCTCCTTTGAGAGGGTCTGGAGTGTAAAGACTAAGACAACAGACCCTGAAGCTGGCCTGTCTGGGTTCAACCTCTGGTTCCACCACTTAATTATCTGTGTGCTTCCGGGCTCAGCTACCTCATCTGTAAAATGAGAACAGTAATCCCCACAAATCATGATATGCGTAAAATGCTTAGAACTGTGTCTGGTATTTAATAGTTGTTCAGTAGGTGTTTGCCATTACTAGTGATATTCTCCAATAACACCTTAAACGTACATGCCCAGCACTGTCATGAAAGAAAGAGCCAGGAAAGAGGACCCCAGAGTTCCAGCCCCAGTTACAGCACTAACCTTGTGACTGTGGCAGATCACGTCCCAGGGAGTCACTTTGTCTGTGACTCAGGGAGGTAGGAGTGCACTTGTGTGTCCCAGCCAATCACTCCTGTACCACTGTCACGGTTTCTGTCTTGTCTACGTGCCAGATAAACCACTATCTATTTACATGTATTTTTTAATCCATTCACTTTTTGTTTACTTAAAAGTATATTTGAAACAGAAAATTTATGTCACTGCTGACGATGGAAAGCAGCATTTTTCTAACATATGTTAAAACAAGCATATAACTATCACAATAAAAAAAATTTTTGCTCCATGTACCATCTACAATTATCTGTTTTGTTGGTGGCTGGCCAGTGTGGGGATCCGAACCCCTGACTTTGGTGTACAAGGCTGTGCTGTAAGCAGCTGAGCTAACCTGCCAGCCCCGCATCTACAATTATCTTGCTGGCCACCTGTCGTAAACATACCACCCTTTGGGAAACAGTACTCTAAGGGGTTTTTAGGGTGTCTTCCAACTCTGACATTCTAAACTACTTCTCAAGTTTTACTTTTTAAAAAAACTTTTTTAAAATTGTGGTAAACTATACACAACATGAAATTGACCATTTAAATAATTTTTGAGTGTATGGTTCAGCGGCAATCAGTACACTCACATTGCTCTGCAACCATCACCACCACCCATCTCCAGAACAGTAGTTTTACATTTTTAAATGTGATTTTCACTGACACTTTTCTGGAATGTATCTATGGCCTAAGGAAGCTATGTAGGTGCTGTGACAACTGTCTGCAAAGAAAGAGATGGAGGGACCAGGTGACACTCACGCACCTGTGTCTCCAAACCAGTGGAAGCGGCCACCAGTAGCCCGGGTGGCCTCCCTGTAGGCGGTGGCCGTGTCCGTGCGGCTGGCGTAGCAGGCGGGGGGTGTGGTGTCCATCTGAGGCTCGCCCACGTAGAAGAGACACACGTTCAGCTGGAGGTCGCAGCCCCTGCAGGCCTCGGCCATGTAGGCGCTGAGCGTGGGCTGTGGGTGGAGAGGAGGCAGGAGGGGCCCACAGCTCAGGTCTGTTGAACTTAATAATCTTTCTAGAGGGCCTACTGTGTGCCTGGTTTAGTACTTGGCACTGAGGATTGAAAGAGATGAGCCCGGGTCACAACTTCTCTCAACATCTGGATGGGGTATGGCCAGGGCACTGGCCCCGAGAGCCTGATGACACCCAGTGTGGTCTGTAGACCAGCAGCATCCTTGTGCCCTGGGAGCTTGTTAGAAATACAGACTCTCAGGCTGTACCCAGACCTCCTGAACCAGGACCTGCATTTTTTTTTTTTTTTTTCGTGACCGGCAACGGATCGCAACCCTCAATGTCGCGCCCGTACCGGACCAGGACTGGCAACGGAATCACAACCCTCGGTGTTGCCCCCGCACCTCGCTCAGCCAGTGAGCGGGAACCGGTCTGTATGTGGGATCCGAACCCTCGGCGGGAGTTGGCGCACTGTAGCAGTGCGCCACCGGGCCGGCCCCCAGGACCTGCATTTTAACAGCACCCAGGTGCTTGTCTGCATGCTAAAGTTTGAAAAGCTCTGGCTTAGAAAATCATGCTGGACACCAACGTCAAGGGTTCGGATCCTTGTACTGGCCAGCCGCCAAAAAAGAAGGAAAGAAAAGAAAAATAGTGCTGGAGAGACCACTGTGAGGCACCCATGTTGGGGAAGATGGACAGGGTGACAAACGGAAACAGACACCCCAGATGTAGCCCACCCACCATGTCCTGGTCGGGGATGCCCCCCACGAAGAGGTAGATGCCCTGTGACTGGTGTTTGTCTTTGTCCATGAAGTCCACTTCTACGGCCTTCCGCAGGGCACCAAGGACGTTCCTTCCACCCTGACACCTCAGGCTCAGGGCCCACCTGGGGAGGCAGAGACAGTGATGCTGAGTGAGGCCACCTCTAAGGCCACAGAGGGGAAGGGCAGTGAACAGAGGCAGTTGTTTTCTGATTTCTGTCTGAGGCCGTTCGAGGGCAGGGACTCAGGAGAGCTACCTCCTGGTGGAAAGGGAGACAGAGAAAATACCACCAAGGCTGCCCTCGGTTCCAGCAGCTGGAAATCTCTGTCCGTCACCTACCGCCAGGCGCTCTGTAAATTGTCGTGGCTCACGGGAACCATCTCAGGCCTCCAGCTTTCGATGGTGCTTCCAAACCTTTGAAGGAAGCAAAGAGGGCTTGTTCTCAGCCAGGGGGTGTCTACTCTGTGGCTCAGCTCTTTGGGCTCAGCAGGCTTTTAGAGGGTCATAATTCTGACACCCCTCAACATGTTAGGATGTCACTGGCCTAGGCCAGCCATGAGATTTCCTTGCTGGTCATGACATGCCCCAGCATGACATGCCCCTACCTCCAATTTCTGCTAACTCTTTGCTCTCTATTCTCTTGGATTTAAAGAAAAATGCATATGTAAATATATATTTACAGAAATGGAATTATACAATATATACTATTCATAGCCTGCTTGTTTCCATTCCTTTAGACTTACTGAGGACATTTTCCACACACATTCACATAAATCTCCCTGGTTCTTTTCCATGGGTGCACAGTATCCCACTGCCAGGATTATTTTACCAATTTCCTCTTGAAGTTCATATAGTTTGTTTCCAGGTTTATCCACTACTAGAACTCTGCATGAAACATCCCTGTGCAGTTATCTTTGCACAGTCATCTTCGTATTTCTGCAGGATGATTCAAAAAGGTTTAACTGAAGGAACAAAGAATATAAACAACAAATTTTAATACAAAGGGCTATACGGAATTATGCTTCCACCAACGGATTCCAGAACACGCTTCTCATATCATCACCAGCACTAGTGTTATTAATCTTTTAAATATTCGCCAATCTGAATTGCAAAACAAATTACAACTCCTTGTTTTCAGAGCAGTGAGCTCGATCTCCAGATGCAACGTGCTCCTTCATCTTCTGCTTCCTTCCCCACTGCTGCCAGATCTGACTCTGTTTCCCTGTGACACCCTCCTGCCTCTGGCCTCCCCACGCCTCGTCTCCTGGTCTCCTCCTGCCTCTGGCTGCTCCTTCCTTGTGCTCCTCTGGTGGGTCCTTCCTTGCCCCTCCACGTGGTGGTGGCCCCCAGGTGCTGTCCTGGTGTCTTCTCCCCACCTCACCTCTCCACGGGCACAGTTCAGGCACTACCACCTTCTCCAGCATAGGACCGAAGTGCTGATGGCTCAAAAACCAGTATTTTTCATGGAGCTCCTAACAGGACATTTCCTTTTGGGGATCTCCAAACTCTTGAGAATCTTACGCTCTTCATGCTTAAAATGATCTTCCCCTTCAAAGATCCACTGTACTTGGGACATCATCTTTTCTGTACCGTGTCCTCATCTCTTCCAGCCAAACAGTGGCCACGTCCTATGGGTCCTGACCTCTGCCACGCTTCCCTTCCTTGCATTTCCATTGCCTTGGCACACGCCTGCTCAACACTGGGGCAGACCATTGCAGGAGTCCAACTGGTCTCCTCCCCTCTGGTATTACACCCCTTCAACTCACCCTTCATAGCTTGAGCATTTGAAGAAGCAAATCTGATCATATTATGACCTTGCTTAAAATCCTTCAGTGCCTGTGTATCCTACTGTGTAGGAAACTCCCGGACATGGTCTATTTCAGTCCTCCATCATCTGGTGGCTTTGTCATGCACAATCTCTCCCTCTCACCCCCACGTCCATACTGAACTACCTGATGGTCCCCCAAAGTTCCATTGTACCTCACACCTCTGTGCCTCCACTCATGCTGTTCCCTCTACTTGGAATGCTCTTTTTCTCCACACCCCGTTGTTCCCATGAGCTAGGTAAACGCTGCTCATTCATCAAGACTCAGCTAAAGGGGCACTTCCTCCATGCAGATTTTCTGACCTGACTCTACCCAGGCAGAACGGACTGATCCTGTCTTTGATACCTCACAGTCCTATATCCTGCCTTATACCTATTTCTACAGAACTTAGTACTTACCATGTCTGTCTCCCACAACCAGGCTGTAAGTTCCTTGAGGACAGGTATGTGTGTATTCATTTCTGTACCCCGCAATGCCCAGCACACTGACTGGTACATGGCAGGTGTTCAGTAAGACTTTGTTAAATGAATGGATGGATAAATGAATGAAAACATTATCTAAAATGTTTCTCTAAGCATTTTTCTGCACCATGTATTAGGGGAAAATCAGGCTCTGGTACAGAATATCTAATATTAACTGCTGATTTAATGAGTTTAGAACATGCCCTATTTCGTGTGAGGTTGGGTAAAAATGTACACTTCAAGAGGGTTCCTTTCTCTCTGTCTTCCCTAATTGGTTAAAATACCATGCAATTTAAAAAACTATATATGTAATATATATAATTATAAAATATACAATTAAAAAAATTTATATATAGTTTTAAAAATGCATGCCATTTATACATAATTAATTAATTAATTAATTATTTTTTTAAAGATGACTGGTAAGGGGATCTTAACCCTTGACTTGGTGTTGTCAGCACCACGCTCTCCCAAGTGAGCCACGGGTCGGACCCTATCATACATATATAATTTAAATTTGAGTTGATATGTATCAAATTTTTATTTAAATTTGGAATTGGAATCCTAAATGTTTGAAATATCATGGCTTGCTAGAACCGAGCTGAGGACCGAAATGAGGGCACGGCTGGGGTCCTTCTTATTCTCTTTTGGGTTCATCGGCCTGGAAGCCAAGTGGGGTAATGGACTGAATTACTTTATCTGGGCTGATCAAGCAGTGTGTTTTGGGGCCACTTATTGCCTTGGCCCTAGTGGGACAGTCCTGCAACCTTTTAATTATTCAGTGCCCCAAATAAGATCACCCAAATCAGATAAACCGATGGCCGTCCCAGAACGCGGGGTGCTCGTAACATCAATATGCGTCATCCAGCTACCCGCCCGAGCTTCAGCCCAGAGAGGGTGTCCAAACACACATGACCAGAAATGATGAGAAACGAGAAACGTACGCGATGAGGTTGAAGTAGTCCTTGTTGGACAGCTGCTCCTCCAGCAGCAGGCGCAGCGAGTGCTGGATATGAATAATGTACATGGAATTGGTCACAGAGACATCGAGCAGTATAACCACCCTAAAGAGAAACACGAGCTTTAAGAGGTGAACCGAATCTCTCAGATAGTGTTCGTTTTGTTCCGTTTTACTATTTAAAGTTTTTTCCAGGGGAATTTTGCACGCCAAATTTATAGCTGGTCAAAATCTTCACGGTTTGAGGCCAGCAGAGGTGGGTTTATAGCAGTAACATAAGGGAGTTGTGGAACCTTCTCTCCCAGGAGGTTCTATAATGGAATAAAGTCACATGGCGGAGACTGTTTAAGGACAGGGGCTTCATCTAATGATTTTCATGCATTTCTTTGTTTTAAAGAGCTAGCATTCAATATTTTTATAGGGCGGGGTTGTTATAGAGAAAACAGAAACAAGGTGAGCAAGTATGATGAGGAATTAGGTATATCTGGACCTTTTGGGAAATGTTTGTATCTTTTGGTTTGCTCTCTCTCTCTCTGTCTTTTAAGGACTCTAGCCCCATTTGCGCTTCTTCTCCTCTGACTACTTCAAATCTCATATTCCCACCTCCCCCAATTCTTGTTTTGAATGGATAGCAAAAGAAAATCCACTGGATTTAGAGTCAGAAGATCTTGGTTCAAGTCCTACTTCCTACCAGCTGTGTGGCCTTAGGCAAGTCATAAAACCTTTCTGATCTTTGGTGTATTTAACTATGAAGTATTTATAATAAGACTCCTGATAAGGTTACTTTGAGAATTAAATTATATCATAGCTGTATAATATTTTGTAAATGGTGATGCATAAATAAGGTACAGGGTGATAATGATGGCTGTAATGAATCCCTATTGTTTCTCCCTGCTCAGCATCCATCACCTCTTCTGGGAACAGCATCCTCATCCTGATTTTCCTTTGGAAAACACCTGAGCCTCTATCAGTCCCTTTGAGCTGGGTGACGCTGATCCCATTCCAAGCTTCAGGGGTGGGCATTTGACCTGGGTAATCAGAACATCACACCTCCCTGGCCAGAGCAAATGGCTCATACATGGGCGGACACCCCAAGCCCTGGGAGTGCTAATCTGGTAGGAAGTCCAGAGATTTGGGGGCTATCTTGCCACCTGGAGGGAAAAGCCTGTCTGAAAACAAAACCAACATAGGAGAAAGCAGAGCCAAGAGATGGAGATAGATTCCTGACATGAAGGAACCTCTGGATCCAGCCATGCCTGAAGACAGCTATCAAATCTATTCTAGAATTTTCATTTACCTTAATCAGACCTGCTTGTTTTGTTTAAGCCAATTTGCCTTTAGATTTTTTAACTAAGAGAATCCTGAGTGCTACCATGATGATATTATTGGTGTTGATGGTGGTGGTGCTGACTTTTTCCTCCTCTGGGGGTTCTGCTGAGAGATTAATGATCTTTAATCTACGTAATGGCTTCTGATGCTACCAACAGGGGATTGATGAGTTTGATAAATGCCGTAACATGCCAGACCCATGAAGGCAAGGGTACTGCTCGGGGAAGGGTACCTTTTTTCACAGACGGTGCCCCAGATTCTTCTGCTGGCCAGAGAGAGCCACTCGATCCGCCTCTCATACATCCACATAGCTCTGCTGAGCTGTTTCTGCAAAAGCATGGGCCACAGTGAGTGAGTGCACAAGGGATGGGCAGTTAAGGGGTTTGGGATGAGGTCGGTGTACTCTGGTCGGCTCTGGGAATGGTATGTCAAGTCCCTGGGTCTCCAGGCAGTATAAACATTCTACTAAATCATGGATGCGTCTGTCGCAAGACCAGAAAGGGGAGTCAAAGTATTTCATTGCATCAAATGGGAGAGAAGATAGATCTTGCCCCAAAGGATTAGAGATTTTGTTTGAGGCGTCCACCTGGGAGGCAAGTGGAAAAAGCTCCAGAGGCGCCTATAGGTGGAGCACAGTCTCTCTTTACAAGAGGGAGTTCAGTCAATGGCTTGGTGTCTCCATAGCACATGGCTCCTTCCTTTTGTCCCCTTTCCTGAACCCCGTATTCTGACTGACTTGACCCATCACTGACCTGGTACTCATATAGGACAGGCCGGTCCACATGAATATTCTTCACTGTCCCGTCATGCCATTCCAACTGTACCATCACCTTCTGCACTCAGGCGTGGGCAGGAGGGAAACGGGAACAGAGGCACATGTAGGGGAGGATTTTAAGTTGAATTTGGGCACTGGGTCCTCCAGATCAGATGCGTGGGAGGGAAATGCACTCTGAGCACATCTGGAGTTGGATTACCCTGTCCCTCGCCCCCCCATGAACACACACACACACACACACACACACACCCCAGCAGCAGCAGATCAGCACCTTGTCTGGAGCTGCAGCAGAGGGCCCTCAGGAGAGCAGTCCCTGAAAGGACCATCCCTGACAGCAAGCCAGGCTGCCTTCTTGGGAAGCTCTTGTGAACATGAGAATCACTGAGGTATGGTTGGAGGGTTTTACAATAGAAACGGAGCCAGAGACCTGAAAACACACTGGCCATGGTTTCTTAGGTTTGGGAGCCCAGATAGACGTTCGTGGGCACTTTGAAAATCCAATTTCTTGGGGCTGTACACTTAGCTCAGTTGGAAAATCCAATGTGTTCATGCTGTTCTTTCATCCTCCACCAAGTCATCATATCCATCTCTCTGTCAGTCCATCCATCCAGTCATTCGTCCATCCACTGCTATATCTACACACCCCTTGCTCCTCTCTTTCCTTTCAGTCTTTCCACTCTTTCTATTCACCTACTATTCCTTCCTTCCACTCCTCCATCCTTACGTTAATTTTTACTTTCATCCTTTCATCTTTCCTTTATTCCACCCTGTCATCCATCCTTCCATTTTCCCTTCTGTCCTCCATCTGTTTACATTTCAATGCATCCATCCATCCATCAATTTATCCATCCCTCCATCCATTATCCATCCATCCATTATCCATCCATCCATTATCCATCCATCCATTATCCACACACCCATCCACCCATCATCCTTTCTCCCACCCACCCATGCACCCATCATCCTTTCTCCCACCCACCCATCCACCCACCATCCTTTCTCACACCCACCCATCCACCCACCATCCTTTCTCCCACCC